ACGTCAAGATGACGTCATCCGGTGTTTATTTATAGGCAATTAAATTTTGACACTTTTAATATTTAAAAATGCATAAGAAATCAACCGTACGCGTCCGCAGCATTCTTTTGCCGGCAAGTGGCAGATTAGGTTGAGGTCTTTATTTCATTCAGTGTGCGTGAAATCACATGACCCTTGCTTCCGGTCGAAAAAGGCCAAAACCGGAAGTGGCTTATTATTTGAAAGTGGTAATAGATATGAACTTGCTTTTAACGGTGTTAGTCTCTTGGCTGATAGTGTTCTTCAAATTATCTACCGATGACGTCATGCAATCTTCGGGCGCCCTCTCGCGACAGGTTAAAAATTAGCAAAAATGTATTTTGAATAGATGTCTGTGGCGAAGTTTGTCAGAATCGCCTAAATATTGGTGCATATGATGACCAATATGATTAAACAATCCGTAATAACGAATTAGTAATTCGTAATAGCAAATTAATACTCCGTAATAAGGAATTACAAACATATACTTGCAGTGGCGCTAATGGGCTTTCGTAGTTTTGAAACCTGGGGCGAAGTTAAAATATAATCCATATATAAAGTGAAGACTTACAAATACTTAGGGAGGCACTTTGAGTGACACCACCTGGAGTGGCATTCTGATTACTGGCAGTGCAAACAAAATATGAATTCATGAAATAGTCAGTTTTAGCGAAGGGAACCTGGACTTTCAAAGCATTGTCATTTTAGGAAATTCTGTTGGGAGGACTGAATTTACAAAGGCTACCGGCATCAATAAAGTTGTTCATTTTGTTATTGCAGTAATAGTCAGGTGGCATATGGTCGGAATCGTGACCGACTGGTCCAAAGCACCAAACTTGGCAGATAGATTCTTATAGACCTAGAGAAGATATTTAGAAGGGGTGACACCTGAAATTCTTTTGGGAAGGGTGCCTAATTTGCATAAATTGTTAATCCCTGCCGTGTAATATATTTTTTCCCATATTCGGGGTATATTTTAATTTTTTTTTTTTTGAAAAGTGTATTTTGGTGATTCTACTTGCATATTCTTACTTCAATAACATTTTGTAAAGCATGTAAGTGACTGAATAATTACGAGGACATAGTAAATCACCAAAATTGCTACTATTTTACCCTAAAGTTAAGCGCATTTACCTTTTCCTCAGATATCATCAACTAGTGTCCCCAGTCGTGGGTATTGATGAGCTTCAAATTCACAAAGGTACTTACTGACATAGTTAACCTAACAAAAATAAGTGGGAAATCATGTGAAAATTGATACCATCTTGATGTTTGGCCCAAAACACCAAAAAAGGGGAGAAAATGTGGTGTCCGTAAATTGGGCTACTACAGGAAGGGTAACGTGGGGACTTGAACAAGTTCAACAAAATCCCCCCAAATAAGAGATTATTGTTGTTTACAATAATTTTGTCTACGCCAAAACGTTTTCTCAACAATAATTTTGGGAATTTCCTTGAACTTGTTCCAGTCTTCCATGTTAGGCAACCCTTCACCTTACGTGTTAGCCCAATTTATGGACACCTCGTTTTTTCCCCAGTTTTTGTTTTCTGGGCTAAATATCACAATGTTCTCATTGTTCACATGATTTTGCATAAGGTTTCAATAGGGTAACTGTACCAGTAAGCTACGTGGTGAATTTGAAGTTCATCAATGCTGATGTTTGGCAAGACTAATTGATGATATCTGGGGACAAGGTAAATGCGAGCAATTTAGGGCATAATAGTAGCCATTTTGGATCGTTAGTTTCGTTACTATGTCCTCATAATTATTCAGTCACTTATATGCTTTACAAAATGTTATTTAAGTAAAGATATGTAAGTAGAATCCCCTAAATACACTTTTCAAAAAAATAAAAAAATAAAAATATACCCAAATATGGGAATAAACATATTTCACGGCAGGGATTAACGATTTATGCAAATTAGGCACCCTTCCCAAAAGAATTTCGGGTGTCACCCCTTCTAAATATCTTCTTTAGGTCTATAAGAATCTATCTGCCAAGTTTGGTGCTTTGGACCAGTCGGTCACGATCTTGACGAAAATTAGATCTAAGCCACCTGACTATAAGACATTGTATCCGGATTCCCAGTCCCTGCAAACCATTCTGGCACAACGTTTTTGAACGCGCCAGTGGCACACCCAGGATATGGCTTGGGGGGGGGGGGGGCTCACAATTTTTTTTCTCAATTTTTTTCATAAGTATTTCCCCCCCCAAAAAAGATTGGTGTTTTTTTTTTTTGGGGGGGGGGGGGGACTATATTGAAGTTGGTGGCACCACTTACACCCCTATTATACTACTCAAAAATAGGCCACATACATATTACCGAGGTCAAATCATGGGACTTAAAAAGAATTACACACAAAAAAAGCTCCCTGAGGGGGTGCGCCACTGGAACGCGCTCAAGCATGGCACAGTGGGAACTCCTATCATGATCCCAAGCCAAGTTACAAAAGTCATGTTGCGGCCGGATTAATGATTTATAGAGCCGTCTTTTTATTTGGCCAGAGCAGTTTGCAAAGGACCTTCTAATAAAACCTAACATTTTATTGCACTTATTGTACACTTCATTACACTGGTTGTTCTAGTTTAATTGCTTTATCATAATTTACACGTTATATGTTGTTATGATAATTACTGTTGGTTGCTTACAAACACCCATTAGAAACAAATATCTATTTTGATGATATCATGTTTTTTTTCACTCAAATAATCCACGAAGGGAAACTGACTTAACAAAATGCGGAACCAGCAGCATTTGGCTGGGTAGCTCCGTTGGTAGAGCACTGGAACAACAGTCTGTTCAATTTGACAATTAAATCATATTAGGAACATCCATAAACATAGTCTTCAAGACAATTTTCATGTTTTTGCCACGAAAGCAAGGAGAATGTTCATGGAGATTAGGAGGGGTACTACAGACATGCCAAAAGAGTTAAACCATTAGATATTACAAACAAAATTGCTTCAGACTGCTGACCTGGATTGACCTGAGACATATTTATACAAGTTTAGAGAGCTGTACATGTTCATCCTAGCAATCTTCCTCACAGGCCTTGGGAAAGATCATGTTGTAAGCACATGCACAAGATGGCTGCTGTTTTAACTTGGCTCATAAAATATTTCAAATTAGGTTTTGCCCTTCACCGACGTATAAACACTTATACACGTATAACTGTATCCTCAGCGGTTACCTTCTGAGTGAAAGTGGAAAAAATCACTCGGGTGGCTTGGACTCGAGCCCACGACCTCCTGCTTTTAGTCCGGCAGCCAAATGCCCATTTTTACCTTGACCTTGAATCAACGGATATACAATATGTTTTGACAGATTCTTATTCAGTAGATTCCATATTATCAGAAACTGCCTGATGACATCCTCTGAAATTGGGCATTATCTCTCAAGGCCCATTGTTTATTTTCCCATTATAATGTGCACACAAATGACTATTCTTAGTAAGTCTTAGCATTGGGGTGAATGGAGATCAAACATTACGCCATTTCTCCATCATAATTAAACCAATGTTAATGTAACTTGCTAAAACTATTGTTCAGTAACATGACATCATGATGACATCGTCATTTGTCATGGAAACAACCACTTGAGGGCGCTATACTCACGCGTGTTTTAAGCACAATATAATTGTGGAATTTGTGGTATGTAGAAATGTAAGTTATTTCGCTTCATCAGTCACACCTGGGGAATTTTGTTTTTGAACCCACTATAGTTAAAATAAACCACTTACCTCTATTGTGACCCAAGAGAGGTAATAAAACTAAACTATTGATGCATAACTATCTATACAGCCACTTTTTTAGACTCCTGGTGTTGAGCCGAGTTGGATTTCCTGGGTATTTTACTGTGAATAACACTGCATTGCTCTGAGATGACTTGAACTTCATTGATGAAAATTGGCAGTGAGTATTGCCATGAATGTGTGATTTCAGTAACATCAATGGTTGACATGGATACCAAGTCATCTCGGAGCACTACAAGGGTGTTTAATGATCAGTGCCAAGGAAATCCAACTATAGGCTCAACACTAAGAGTGTAAAAAAGTGGCTGTAGAGACAGTTAATCTATATATAATTTAAGTTAACATCTCTGTTGGGTTGCAGCAGAGTTAGGCGGATAATTAAAGACTGATAAAGCGAACTTGCATTTCTACATATCAAAAAATCCACAATTAAAAGTGCTTAAAACACGCGTGAGTATAGCGCCCTCAAGTGGTTGTTTGCATGACAAATGACAATGTCATCATGATGTCATGTTACTGAACAATAGTTGTGGCAAGTTACATTAACATTGGTTCAAGTGTGATGGAGTAATGTTTGATCTCCATCCACCCCCAATGCTAAGACTACTAAGAATAGTCATTTGTGTGCACATTATAATGGGAAAATAAACAATGTGCCTTGAGAGATGATACCCAACCCTGAGAAGGTGTCATCACACAGATTCTTGAAGGGAATGGCCTTCTTGATCTATCCAACAAAACATGGTTCACCCTCTGGCTGCCGGACTATTTCTAGTACAGATGTCTTATCACTCGACCACCGACCTAACGAGATCGGTTGGCTGGTTCGAATCAGATGTACATAGCAGCGGGTACCGCATCAACTATTCATAAGATGGAATTTTGCGTCGGGGTGATGTAAATCAAATTAGCTTTTGCCCTTCACCGACGTATAAACACTGTATGCTCAGTGTGTTACCTCCCGAGTGAGGTAACACACTCGGTGGTGCACTAGAAAGCAGGAGGTCGTAGGTTCGAGTCCCATCCGAGTGATTTTTTCCACTTTCACTCTGGAGGTAACACACCGAGTATACAGTGTCTATACGTCGATGAAGGGCAAAACCTAATATGATTTACATCACCCCGACGCAAAAATCCATCATTTATTGTTCATGGTTAAATAACTAGCAATGCTGAACACCTGTTGCATTTTTGTAACAGTCGTATTTTATATTCTCTGATATTTTCAGGGTTTAGTACCAGGCCTCTTTGGTGTATCACATGGAGCTCTTCAATTCATGGCTTATGAAGAGTTAAAGAAGGTTCGACTCAAAATTGGTGATCAATCCAGTAGTCAACAATTTGTGAGTATTTCACCTTTGACACTCAATTATTGTTTAACAATTAATCACTGGATATAATAACCTCAATCAAAACCGTATCATTTCCCCCTTGGTCAAGGCGTTTATCATTATTCGTCCGTACGCGGTAAATGAATGGCGACATATCCTCGCTATGCAGTGCATTAAAAATGCAGCGTGAACAGCGACCTCGTGCGGCCACTGTTTTATGCAAATTATTTGGATCCAGACGAACCCCTTTGGTACAATCGTCCATGTGAGGTTTTGGGGTTGGTGCGCATTATGCTAATAGCCTAAACTGTCCTTAAAAGTCGTCTTATTGGTCGATCGTTGCATGGAAACTTGCATAGCGGTGAAAGTTCATATAGCGATAACGTGTGACATCGGCTGTACATAATACATACACACATGTTGTGTGTCTCACATATAACACACAACACCAATGCACAAAAAAAAGCGTTTTCTGACACGTCCGTAAAAGGCGAATAGCTGCAAATAATTTGATGACGTTGGGATTTAGCAAGGTTTGATTGGACACTCCACATATTAGTCACTTATCTGTATTCGCATACGAGGCCGTGCGCTAGAAATCTAGCACAAAATGAAGAAAACATAAGCTTTTGCGGACGATTGGACCAAGGCCTTTGATTGGATCCAAATGATTTGCATAAAATAGTGGCCGCATGAGGTAGCTGTTCGCGCTGTATTTTTAATGCATAAGCGAGGATATGCCACCGATCGTTTACCATGTACGGACGAATAATGACGAATGCCTTGACCAAGGCTACCTTTACATAAAAAAAGTATTACAAAAACTAATTTTTGGTAAAACAAGAAAATGCATGCTCCTCTCACCAGAAATACATGATAAGCACCTAACAGGTGACCCCTCTTTCCATATTTTAAGTTTTGAATTTGCATAACTGTTTCATTACTTTATGCTACCTTTTTTTATTCTAACCTTATAAATTGTATGGAAAGTGTGTATTCAGCCATTGTTTGTTATAGATACTTTAAAAGGTCTGGATCACAGGAAATCTATATAATGTCTTACTTTTTTTGTTTCTTTTATACATTTTTCAAGCATTGAATTATGAGCTAGACTCTCTACATAAAATGTATTCAGTGTAGGCCAGATTTTATTTATTTATTGGATTAAATGACATGAAATTTGGCAGAGTCGGACGGAAAAAAAAAAATGCTTAAGTTACCTATTTTTTTTTTTACACACACAATGCATGTAATGTTGATGTCCCCTGTAACACATCGGGGCGCTGCCCCTTACGTGGTGCACTTTGATTTGTCACCTATAATGTCATATGTAGAGACGGCGGGTTCGTAATCCAACAAATTACAAATTTCTGGCCTTTCTTCAATAATAGTTTAATGGCTTTGATTTGTGTGTTACGGCTGGAACATGATCCTGTAATTATGTGTTGTTTTATGCATAATTATGACTAATGTGTTTTAATGCTGAAATTTATTGCAGAGCTCTGTGGAATACATTGTTTTTGCTGCGTTATCGAAGATGTTTGCAGTGATCACAACTTATCCCTATCAAGTGATAAGGTCACGGTTACAAGATCAGCATCAGACTTACAATGGTGTCCTAGATACAATCCTACAGACTTATAGGTAAGTGTGGAATCAGTATTGCATAGCATATTTTCACCTTTTGCTTGGAGCTTCAAATATCACAACATCCAACATCACAGATGACTTTTCTAGTCATTCGGAGCCAGAATGAATTGGGAATTGTTTTTAAAACTAATTCCTTTTCAAGCAACTGATGGTACCTGAACACAGCAATGGTTGACTACACTCACTGGAATTTTCGAGAAAGGTTTTCCATGGAGACATATTTCCTTAATTATATAAATAACCACTTAAGTGAAGATTTGCTATAGCATGCCACGCCACCCTCCTGCGTCAGCGTTCACAATTGTTAGGTCCCACGCTATTTACATCGTCCTCTGTTTTTTAACACTCGTGACAGTAGGACGTGTTTTCAGTGATCACAATAGCATATTTTATAATTTACGTTTGTTCTGGTTTCAATCACTAATTGTTCCTAATGTTCTCACGATTTACAGTACAATTGGTTTTGGAAGCCATGAGTAAAACGGTTTGCATTTTGTTTGATTTTAGATGAGAATAAGAAACGTTTTTGGTTTCGTTTTTATGACCTCGTGTTAACTGTTACTGAATGGAAGTTCATATGCATTAAAATAGGTGTGAGGTTTGTTTTAGTATTCCTACGCATTCTACAGTTGTAGATACACATGGTCCATCTTTATGGATCAGCCCACCTAACATGGATTCTACGGGAAGTATTCTTATGGACTTCCGCCATAGATTTTGTGAAGCGATGTGGAAATAGTTCAGTCTTATAGGTTTCCATTCTCTAAGAGTTCCCGGTGGAATTTTTTTTTTTCTAACTGTCTAAGAGCAAAAAGCTGGTTAGAAAAAGTAGCCGCCTTTTGCCAAGGCAGCATTACATCATCCCTTTCGTGTTCCAAAACAAGAAACTGCGGAATTTTTAACAGTTCTGATTATCCTAGACACTGCGAAGGATAAGATAGCGGCAGACACGGGGGAAGCAATCACAGAAAGCTCTAATAATTTGGACGTACACGGTTTAGGACGAACATTTCGGAGTATGTCCGAAACCATTTTTCTTCAAATAAGACAGTTGTTGTTCGACAATTCCGAAAACTGTTAAACCAAATGGTCAAATTTTAAAAATTGTCAAAATAAGTTAAGTATTCACATCAAAGGTTACAGTATGTAGTTTCATGAAATAATACTGAGTTTGACCAAATATGCAGAGTGTCAGAAAATAAAGTGTCGGCAATATAAAAAAAATACAACAAAACTGAGCTTCCTTTGTTAAATCTATTAAGTAGTGGTTACAAAACCACATGAAGTGCAGAGAAGATATGAGTCACTGCACTTTTATAATTTTTTTTCTGGTAGTATTTAGCATTTTCGGTTTCGGACGTACACAGAAGAAGAGACCTTCCATTACAAACAAAAAATGCACCTGTGAAATATTATTCTTATTGTGTTAAAATAAGGGAATAAATGTGTGTTCCGGAGGTATTATAACACTCTGTTTAAAACCGGTGTGAGTCTGGATGGGTGATAATTACCCGAGGTGAAGCCGAGGGCAATTATCACCCATCCAGACTCCCACCGGTCTTAAACAGAGTGTTTAACACCGACGGAACACATATTTATTCCCATTCATAAATACCTTTTTGGTAAAAAAAAATCTTTTCGGTCCAAAAATCAAAATAAATAAAAAACTAGACGTTGTTAACCATTTTGTTCAACAAGTTTATTTCATGTTTTACGAAACACCCCTCTGACTATAATATGGAATGCCCCTCCACAATTGCGTGCGCGTCGCGCATTCCACTGTCATGGTCGCGCGTACTGCGCGATGTCGCGCAAAACGCAGCTGGGCTTGTGTAGTGTGAATATCGGACCATGAAATACTGATTCACTCGTAGTACAGTGCGCATGCATACGTTAGGAATGTGAACGTTCAACCAATGAAACGTTAAAAGGCACCGGATTTTTAGCAGCGACTCCGAATCTTTATAAAAATTGGTGGATCCCGTATGTGCATCGGTAAACCATTGGGATGGAGACTTTCTCCTCCGTCTGTTTAATACATGAATAGTCTTGAAATCAAGACTAGAAATATGGCATCAAGAAAGAATTGATGCGATTGGTGGGCATGGCCGGTTATTACCGGAACTTTTGCTGCAGCTTTTCGGACGTGGTTTCTCCACTGACTAATTTGCTTAGAAAAAAACACAAAATTTGTCTGGACCGAAAGATGTACCCAATTTCTCCAGATGATTAAATCCATGCTTGTTCATGCGCCAATTCTTTCTGCACCCGACTTCACTAACTCATTCATGTTAGCAGTTGGTGCTAGTGATGTTGGAGTTGGGTCAATGTTGTTGCAAGAAGGCGATTTTGAAATATGTCATCCAGTTTGTTATTTCTCGAACAAAATTGAATCCACATTAGAGGAATTATAACAATAGGCCACACCATGAATGTACAAATTCGGAGGTGATGAGCTTCGATTTTTGCTGATTTCGAAAATATTTTTGGCAAACATCAATAAAGAAAAAGAGAAATTACTGTTCAAGTATTTAAAACCTATGCAGTTGAAATGCTTGAAAGTTATCTTCATGGAGACACTGATGATTTTGCGTACTTTTTGATAATTGTGCTAATCACCGTCCATGCCCGAAGCTGCTAGCGCGGGCCCCCACTTATTGTGTGCGCTGACGTAGGAGGGCACTTTGGCATGCTGTAGCAGATATTTACTTAAGCGATTATTTAGATGCCTAAAGGTTATTATGCAATTATTGGTCCAACAGGAAAGTACATCGTCCCGCCGTCGGTAACCTAATAACCATAGCTATATCTCCCTTATCATATTGTCAAATGGCAAAGTTCAAGAGAACACTGCTTGTTGGCCTCTGTAAGTCTGTGTCAAAACATGTATTTGTATAGTATTACATGTACCTATACAAAATTCATTGCCATTTTTGCACATAATTCTCAAAATTCTGCTGATTATAACGAAAGACCATAATGTCATCGACCATGCTGCATGCCCCAAACAAGTGAAAGGAAATTACGAATATACTCTTTAATACAGCGCACAGTGCTACAGAAATTTTGTCTACTCAAACAAAATGGAAGGATTTCGGAAAGATTTACATGTAGATGAATTTCCCCTTGGCTTTGATGTTAATTCTTCTTGTCAGCGTGGAACTGTGGTCTGGAATAATCCTGTGCATCCTTTTCCATTCTGTCAACGGCTCAATGGCAGAATTTTTAGTCACGGAAGGACAAGTACTTGTACATATCACCCAAGGACAAGTACTTGTACATATCACCCGTGTCCATCATGGATCGTCATATGACGATCAGATCTAGTTCTCCCCCGAAACGCATGATCCACCCCAACGACCGAGCCGGGCGTTGGCGTCCCCAAAAGCCTAGCCTTTAGTCAAGTCCCACGCGCTTATAGCCGGACACATGACGCACCCCGGATGCTGACACGTAAAAAGACTAGGACGAGCGGCGTAGCCGCGAGGGCCTTTACCATCTCGTGGAGAACGCTTGTGTTTTTCTTTACATTTGTCTACCGATTTGGTAGACATGCATAATGCATTACCCGTTGTAATGCATTGCGTGCCAGCATCCAGGGTGCGTTACGTGTCCGGATGGTCCGGGTATAGGTGCGTGGGACTTGACTAAAGGCTACCAAAAGCCGGGCGGTGGGCCAGAGTGATCAGCCATGCCTTGCTGCCCACGGCTGTTGGGGTCAACGAAGCGAGCCGGCAAGAGCCGTTCCAAATTACGGGCCCAACAGCACAAAGCTTCAATCTCGAAGATAACAACAAACATATCTCCAAACAGGGGCAAGTTCGTTTGTTGACCAATGGTTAACCATATAGGTAGGGGGCCTTAATGTATGGCAACCATTGCAAATGTAATCATATGAGTCCTGGGAACAAGAAAAGTGATGTTACCATATTTTTCCATTGACCTTTAGTGATCTTGACCTGAGGTCAAAGTTCATGGGTCATTTTCACCCAAAATGTGCCAAAATTTGCACTCCAGAGCGGATTTATAAGCACCTCCAGGTCTTCCATCCTGCATGGATCCTGTAGATACGGCTTCTGCAGGCTTGAAGGGCATCTCATGTAATGGGGGGAGACAACACCAGCCTGGCTAACCCAGGAGGCACACACTTGGGTCTTAATAGCAGGGTTAATCGCTTTCAGGTGACTCACAGTGTAGCACTGCTGTGACTGGTCAAGAGCACAGTTTGTCAGCATATGAAGCGCTTTGTGAGCGAGTCTGTCGATTGGTGAGATGCAAGCACACTCCCTTGGGGAGACCGTTCCTTTGCCCTGCAGTGAGTCTTTCCCGGGTTTTAGGAGGGCGATGACCTTCGACTTTTGCCACACGGTACTGTTTGTGTGGCGAGGCAGGTGTTGAAGAGCTGGAGTAGTAACCAATTTGAGGCGGTTGGTCCAAGATGTTTCAGTTCTTCGGTAAAATGTTATCCAGTTTGGTTGCTTTCCTGTCCTTTATTTATGCCAGTTGCAAGTTCATTACCAGAGAAGGATTTGATAAAGCCAAGGTCGATGGCGGGGTCTTTCTGGCGGAGCTTGGGTTTCGGTCGCTTATGAGAACGTGGTACTTTACCACTTAATAGCAGTTGGTGTGGGTTATTTGGTTGGCGGTGATGTTACAATGCTGTTCGGTCAATGCTGCTTTGTGCGGTCATTGCATGCTGAGTTTTTTTTTTATATTATACTCCAAGGCTTGGAGGCCATATTGGCTTCTTGGCCATAATTTGGTGGTTACCACAAGGGTTTGCCACAAGCTTTGAAGCTGTTCTGTTATGGCTGTTATTAATTCCCCAGCTGAGATGGTATCGACAGCAAGAGGGCTGTTTTCATACAAGTGTTTGTATTTCCTGTAAAGTTCAGCACTACCGGATGCTAAGCCTGGGATGTTATCAGTGCGGCAGCCCCTGGGGATGTTCTTGCACCTCCATATCAACAAACCGGTGTCATAGTTATCGGGGG